TACCAATGATAAACATTTTTTAAAAAAAGGACCTTTTTTTTTTTTTTGGAGCATGGCTAGGTCAACGTTTGCCTTGCATTCAAAAATTATTGTAAAAATTTAAAAAAAAAACACATTTATTAAATGCATTCTGTTTGAAAGATATGCCCAGTGTTTTGGGTTATCTCATTTAATTTCTGTTACAATCATGTACACTAAGAATCACTGTTCCCATTCCTTCAATGGGAATAATATAATAAATATATTAAAATAAAATATAATAATAAATAAGGGAACTGAGGCTTATGTTCAGAGAAATAGGGTGACTTACCCAGAGCCATACAGATTTCTAAGTGGCAGAGGAAGACTCCATTATAAGTGGTGGTTTTTTTAAGATTTTATTTATTTATTTGACAGAGAGAGAGATCACAATTAGGCAGAGAGGCAGGCAGAGAGAGGGGGGGAAGCAGGTTCCCTAACTGAGCAGAGAGCCCAACGTGGGACTCGATCCCAGGACCCTAAGATCATGACCTGAGCCAAAGTCATAGGCTTAACCCACCGAGTCATGCAGGCACACCCCATTATAAGTGTTTTGACTCCAAATCCCATCTCTTTCCCCCCTAAGAAGAAATGGTGCTATGGAATTCATATAAGGCACAGAGCCTGTGTAAAAGATGTGGTGAAACCAAGAAATAGGGAGAGATGGATCCTCCTATGTTTTTTTTTATCAGTACATCCTACCTGCCTAAAACTCTACTGGGAGAAGTAGTACAATGAAAAATAGCTGCTTTTTGGGACTTTTAAGTTTGCTGTTCCAAATAGATCACATCCCTTTCCTTTGGCTCCTCATCAAAACAGCATCCTTAGGGGCGCCTGGGTAGCTCAGTGGGTTAAAGCTCTGCCTTCGGCTCAGGTCATGATCCCAGGGTCCTGGGATTGAGCCCCACATCGGGCTCTCTGCTCAGTGGGGAGCCTGCTTCCCTTTCTCTCTATTGCCTGCCTCTCTGCCTACTTGTGATCTCTGTCTGTCAAATAAATAAATAAATAAATCTTAAAAAAAAAAAAAAAAAGCATCCTTTCAGCTTCAAAGAGAAAAGACCCTACTCTTTCCCACTCATTTATCATCAATCACAGGTGCCTACTAATCACAAGAGTTCCATTTTCCCTCTTTTCTGAGAATCCAGTTTCTCTAGGAAAGTCTATCAGTGGCAACAATGCTGACTGAGAACGATATTCCTTGCACATCACTACGGCCCATGTCACCCTCACATCCGGCGCACATTCAGACCCTACACCACTGTTCAGGGGTTGTGTGGTATATGTAAATTTACAACAGCAGTTTCCCGTGGATGATGCTGCAGACATTCATAAGGAGGGAAAAGTTCAAGTGATGACAGTCTCTTCTCTACCTCGGCTGACCCACTGTCACCTTTTAAGTTCTTACCCCTCGGTTTCCCATACATCCTCCAAAGTCCAAATGCCATCTTCTCTGGGAAGTGCCCCTGATCACTCCCCCAGTCTCCCACCACACCAAGCTGGGTCAACGATAAATACAGACTATTCCATATGACCCTGTTATGGTACAGTATTCAGCACTGGGGATAATTCTGTCTTTAAAGCTCTTGGCTGCCCCCAAAAAGAGAATATGAACTTTTTCACTTTGCATCCCTAACTCCAACACATAGTAGGTGTTCAGTGAATATATGATAAGTGGATGACTGCCCACGGAACACACGATTTGCATTTGTGCTTCCCTGTGCTTGCTCCCACTGTTTTTATCATCTAAAATTCCTCTCCTCTTTCTGATCCCCTCAAATACGAGAAAATTTGTTTCCTTACCAGACAGGAAGTCTTGGTCATTACTTACATAAATATTTATGTAAAATGTTCTTCTTATTAGTATACTCAATGTGATGTCTGGAGTTTCTCAAGTGATATGCACATTTAAATGATAAATGTCTGGAACGCCTTAAGATTCAGTCAGTTAAACATCTGCCTTTGGCTCAGGTCATGATCCCAGGGTTCTGGGATAGAGTCCTGCATTGGGCTCCTTGCTCAGTGGGGAGCCTGCCTCTCCTTCTGCCTGTTCCTCCCCCTGCTTGTGCACTCTCTCTCTCTCTCTCTCTGACAAATAAATAAAATCTCTAAAAATTAATTAATTGATTAATAATAAATTTCTTACTAAAATATCCAGGTATGTTTCCCTAGTTGTTCAGAGCAGGCTTCTATATATTAAACATTAATCAATATGGATCAGTGGGAACTGAAAAAGAAACCAACCTCATATTGTGAAGGAATTGGAGTCCAAAACTCCAAAATGCAAACTTTTTCCCATAGAAATTCTTTAATAAATGATGTGTATAGTTCCAGACTAATCAACAAAATTCTACTCATTCCAGACACAGTATTAATGGAACCAGCCTGAGACATGTACTCTTAGAGTTAGGATCAAGAGAGAAAGAAGAGAAAGAGGAAAATTTCCTCCCTACTTTCAAGCACCCAAGCTCCTGGCACCCAAGGGATTCTAAAATATTAAGTTTATTCCTTCCTATCTGTTAGTGCCCTTATGGCCAAGCTGAAACAAATATTTACCTCTGTCCTAGTTTTCAGTTATGGAGTTCACCCAGGCTGCTTTTTAATCTTTGAGATTCTTTAACCTTGACATTTTCACTTTTTTCCTAAGCAAAATCCAACTGATCTTAACCAGATGTTAAAAGAACAAGTAAGTAAATTAATACACATTAAGGCGTAAATGACTGCTAGCCCATAAATCTTTTATGAAGCATTTAATTTTTAATAGAGAATAGTTGTTTACCTAAAGGAATGCATACTTCTAAACTGGCATAATTTCAGTAACTTTAATAAAATAAACTGAAAAATCAGCAAAATGTAGGGAAATCCTTCTGGGTGAGGAAGAAATAGGTCATATCTCCCTGAGAGACTAGCCCTAGTTTCCATTATATTTATCCCTTCTTTTCATCATCTTCTGTTTTAGAAACCACATATTTCTAAAAGTACTGAGGATTTTTTTTTTTTTTTTTTGGTCTGTTCGGTTTGGTTTTGCTTTTGGTTTTGATTTTTTATCCAAAGTGAGACTGAGGTTAACATTAAGTATCTTCTATAAGATCATTTCAGGAACAAAATGTAAATTACTTCATTAGGCCCAGTCTCAATATGCTATACTCATAGCTTTTAAGGTATATGCTATTTACTCATTCTTGTGTCCTCTGGCTGCATTATTTGTCGAACACTTATCATCTGTCCCCTGGAATAGGCTGGGGCCTCCATCAATAAACAAGATTATTTGAAACAGGCCCTACCATCAAGAAGCTGACTTACCAGTGGAGAAGACAGGTCAACAGACAATTATAATATAGTGCCAATTCCTGCATCCCAAGTGCCAAAGTGGCTTAGAAAATGAAACATCCAATTGCCCAGACAAGTCAGAAGGGCTCCACAGAGGATGTGACATTTGCTTGTTTGTGGATACTAATGCTCCCATGAATGAAAAGAGAAGAAAAAAATTTTCAATTATTTAAGACTGAGTATAAAAGGAGGAGATAATGGGGACATGAAGCCAAAACCTTGGATAAGAATAACTGCCTCTTGGGAGAGGCAAAGAGGCCACTTAGGAAACTCTTTCTTCCTAGTGTTCTCTCTTAAAATCTGGCTACTTGAGTCTCATCCCTCTCACAGCACGACTTTACACCAAGATGAACACTAGCTAGGTGTTTATATTTGTCCAGCTCTCCTGGATGCCAAGCACAGCTATCCTGGGAAGATTAGTAGTATCTTATTTTGTCCAGGATACTTTGCTACAGCAGGAAAGCACAGCCATGTTCTTCCAGGGACCTACTCCTGGTGTAGCAAGAGGATCTTTACTCAGCACCCTTTTCCCACCCAGGGAGCCTCACCTGTGCCGGATGCTGAGCTTTTACCTCAGAGTGTGCCTGTGCCACATGGTGTGATGTTACTACCTTCATGGCATCCTCAGCCTTCCTCCCATGGGTTTTCTGATGGACTCTGCTAGGGCAGAATATGTTGATTTTCTAAATCACATAAATGAATAGCTTGATTACTTATTATGTAAATTATTGAAGCAAATATTTGCAGAAGTCTTTATGGAGCTCATTCCTGAGCATCTGAGTCTTCTGAAAATCCTAAAGAACTGCTACTATCTTAAGCCCCCATGAAAGACATGTTTTATTGATAATCCTGGCCTATTCTGCTCACTTGATATTCTTGTTATACAGATGGTTAACCTCAGAGTTCACTCCAGAAATGGCTGGCAAGCACATAAGTTAGGAGATACAGTCTCTTGTGCTAGACTGAGTTTGAAGTTAAAGAATAAAGTGGGTATTGCCCAAAGTGGTCTGGGAAACCATGACAAGAATACTTTTCCACAAAGTTTTGAGCCCTCCCCATTATCCCATCCTAAATCAGTTCCCACAATGACCAATTTCCTCCATAACCTAGAGGCAGCTATTCTGACAACTTCAGGGAGGATGCTAATAAGGTTTATATTTAAGTAAAGATTGTGAAATGAAAGAAATGGTTTGATGAATAAGATACAGATGTGTCACATTTCTAAGGTTAAAGACAAATTAATTAGTCTCTGGCTAATCTACCTCTGGAAAAACTCGTCTTCCTCAATAACTAATTTAATTCAGTGTTATTTTCTGAGATTTAGATTAGGAGTTTTTAATTAATTTGGAAGCTAGGATTTACTTCTAGAAAAAATGCAAAGGACCTAGATAAGTTTATTCACACAGGAGTGTCCTTTGCATTTTTGTCTGGAGGGTATTTATCTGGAGGGTATTTATCACTTTCTAGAAAAGCAATTCTAAAAACTGATTCAATGTGTAAATTAGACTTTCTTGGTTCAGTTTTTCTCCAAAAAATATGATCTATTTTTTCCTAAGACTAAAGTTGAGTCACAGTATTTATGATTGAAAAATAAAACTATATGTTTATAACTGAAAGTTCAATTTTTTTTACCTCTTCATTTTTATTTTCTTTAGGTGCATCTGGCCTAGTGTCTAAGATTAATTAATAACCCAAGAGATCAAAATGATTCTCAACTCTTCCACTGAAGATGGTATTAAAAGAATACAGGATGACTGTCCCAAAGCTGGAAGGCACAATTACATATTTGTCATGATCCCTACTTTATACAGTATCATCTTTGTGGTTGGAATATTTGGGAACAGCCTGGTAGTGATTGTCATTTACTTTTACATGAAACTGAAGACTGTGGCCAGTGTTTTTCTTCTGAATTTAGCACTGGCTGATTTATGCTTTTTACTGACCTTGCCATTGTGGGCTGTCTACACTGCTATGGAATACCGCTGGCCCTTTGGCAATTACCTATGTAAGATTGCTTCAGCCAGTGTCAGTTTCAACCTCTATGCCAGTGTGTTTCTACTTACATGTCTAAGCATTGATCGTTACCTAGCTATTGTTCACCCAATGAAGTCCCGCCTTCGGCGCACAATGCTTATGGCCAAAGTCACCTGCATCATCATCTGGCTGTTGGCTGGCTTGGCCAGTTTGCCAACTATAATCCACCGAAACGTATTTTTCATCGAGAATACCAATATCACAGTTTGTGCTTTCCATTATGAATCCCAAAATTCAACCCTCCCCATTGGACTGGGCCTAACCAAGAATATACTGGGTTTCTTGTTTCCTTTTCTGATCATTCTTACAAGTTACACTCTTATTTGGAAGACGCTAAAGAGGGCTTATGAGATTCAGAAGAACAAGCCAAAAAATGATGATATTTTCAAGATAATTATGGCAATTGTGCTTTTCTTTTTCTTTTCCTGGGTTCCCCACCAAATATTCACTTTTCTGGATGTATTGATCCAGCTGGGCATCATACATGACTGTAAAATTGCAGATATTGTTGACACCGCCATGCCTATCACAATTTGCATAGCTTATTTTAACAACTGCCTGAACCCTCTCTTTTATGGCTTTCTGGGGAAGAAATTTAAAAAATATTTTCTCCAGCTTCTGAAATACATCCCCCCAAAGGCCAAATCCCACTCAAGCCTATCAACAAAAATGAGCACACTCTCCTACCGTCCCTCAGATCATGGAAATGCATCCACCAAGAAGTCTGCCTCATGTGTTGAAGTTGAGTGACACACTTGAAACCTGTCAGTGAAGTAATCTTGTGAAAGAAGGAGCAAGAAAAACATTCCTCTACAGCACTTCACTACCAAATGAACATTAGTTACTTCTCAGAATTTAAGAAGAAAAAGGTTTTATGGTCTCAAAGAACCATTCCAAAGCTCTGAACAAAAGCTTTTCTTTCCCTGTGCAGCAAAACAAAGCAAAGCCAGATTTTGCATTAGATAGATGAGGGACCACTCAAAGAACGATGTCAGAAACTGGATGAATGTGTTGACTGGAAAAATTTTACTGGCAGAAATGCCATCTCCCCAGTCTGCTCTTTTTCTGCTATTTTTGATTTCCACATAAAGGTATTTGGAATATGTTAAATCCTGAGAGGGGCAACAGGGGATCAGAGCTCAAGACAGCTCTGCCCCATTTCCAAAGGGCAGTAAAGCTTTTGTTCCTATTTACCTATTAGCAACTCTGACCCACTTGTACCTGCTACTGCACATTTTGTACATAGACCTGCTAAGCAGTAATCGTCAAGTTTCAGAAACTTCTGTGAAATTCAACTAATGTCTTATTGATTCACACTGCCAAAATATGCCAGCTAATAGGTTTATTTGTATATAGAACTAAAAAGTGAGATATAACCCAAGTAGTAGTGTCTTCCTAGTCATATCAGTTTTGTTTCATATCTGGAAGTATATATATTTTGTGGTAAAAAGATTATATATCATAAAGTATGCCTTACAGTTATAAAAAAATATATGTTCTATCTGTATATCTCTAAACTGTTGTTACTTGATTAAAATCTGGCAAACATATTTACATTAAAATAATTTTATTGTAATGTATTTAATCTTCATTACTCATAATGAATACTGATTTATTTTTAAAATGACAAATATAACTACGAACACATTTCCATTTAAACTTTAATACAACAGATAGTTTAATGCTATTGCTTATAGATTCTATATTTTGCCATTGAAAAGGTAAATAATACATTTTATTCCATTTTAGTCCAGCATATAATAAATACACCCTTTTGAGTTTTTCAAAGTTTTTCATGCAACAAAGAAAAAAACTCATTTCTTGTAACACTAAAATAAAACATTATTTTATACATAATTATTTAATAATAGGACTTTTCTAATTACACACATGATCATTGTAGGACACGAAGATATAGGAAAGCATAAAAATAAGTTTTATTTAGTTCTCCTGCTTAAAAATTGCCATTTTAAACATTTGGGTACATTTTCTTCTACTTTTTTTGTATTCATTATACACACATACATATACAAATCATGATATTTGAGTCAGAATATGTATAGTACTTTGTATACAGATTTTTCACTTAATGTAATAGCTTGTTAGCTTGCTACACCATTAAATATTTTTCTAAAACATTTAAATAATTGAATAACATTGCAAAATACAAAAACATTCTGATAGAGTTAGCTAATCCTGAAACTGGAACATTTAGTTTTTGATTTTTCAGTATAATAAATTGCACTGTGATAAATGTTCAAGTACTGAATCTGATAAATTTCTCAATGCAGTTCTAGAAGTGGTACAACTGAGCATACAGATATAAATATTTTTAATACTCTTAATACATATTACCAAATATTTTCCAGAAAACTTATAACAATTTATAATACTACCAACTATGTATGAACATATCTCACCACAGTCCCAGCAGCATGGAATATTTACTAGATTTAAACAAAAAGGAAATTTTACTGTAATCCAGGTACAGCATGCAAGAACTGGGATGCACATGCCCTAAAGAAAGTAGTGTAGTATTTTGGCTCCCCTTGGGCAGTTGCCTCATTTTTCTCCCTAGAGGACTCACTGGCTTGGAAGTCCACACAGAGCAGGCTGATGTGATCATCTGACTCAATAAACAGTGGTAAAAGTTGGAGGTGATGTATGAAATAGTCAATGGAAGCTATGGAGCCGGCATTCAGAGAGCCGTTGGTGGGCTGGACAGAATCTCCACAAAGCAGCCTATTACACTCACATTCCCAAGGATATAGAATTTATTTGATAATAAATGTGGTTACATATGTCTCATATTATCTTCCTTTTACATTGTTTTGAATTTCACTAATATAATACCAGTCACTAACTCCAAAGTTCTGTTACTATTTTCACAAAGTATCACCTCTAAAAAAAAAATTCTTATCCCAAATTATAGTGCAAACTTATCCTATCTGAATTCCCTCCAAGTCAAATGTATAACCTGTTCTTTTTTTTTTATTCAATAGTCATCTTAATCTAAATGATTACAAGTACTTCAAACTTGCCAAACCATTTGCTAAGTTACAGTTGTTAAGCTTTCTGGCAGATAATTGTATTTAGATACCCTCCATCTCATCTGTATTTATTAGATGGCATGAATAACATGTTCCAAGCCTTGTTTTCACTTTAATTTAATCAAATCATATTATTGTGATTTTTTTCCCAATCCAATTTTGTGAAATGGACATTGGTAACTTCAGTGATTAATATTGTTTTTTCAGTAAGACCAACTTAATATTGTAAACTCTACTTACCAAAATGTTAAGATGAGATGCCATAATTTACTCTTCATGGACATCATCAGAGGTTAGGGGAACTCTGTATTTTTTGGATTATTTTTAAAATTTATGGTGAAAGGAGTATTTACCATAAAAATATAGGTGCCAAATCATCCCAATATGCATTCCAGTGGTAAACATTTCAATCAGCTGCTGTGGGCAGTATGAAAGAGAGCCAAGTAAGAAGCAGCCTGATTGGCAAGCCATGGAAAGGCTCACAGAGATATGATACCACCAAATCACAAAAGTAAAGTGAGTGAAGAAAGTGAGTCCCAGGGAATTTTGGCTATTGTATGAAAGATGATTTCCCAAGGATAGAGAAGAAAGTAAATCAGGAACAGATGAGACTAAGAAATGAACAGAAGCATGGAGGCAACCATACACTGTCTCAGTGCTCAGGGTGCAACCCTCACAAATGAGCTACATACGGGGGTTTAGGTCCCCAGGATCATGTGTATCCACTGGATCCAGAATAACCACAGCAAGATAGAACCTAAATATTAAGGAGGGAAGCAAGTTATAAAAACAGTAGACAATGGTATGGGGCAAGATCAACTTTGATTTTTATATATTTAAGTCTTCATGATGGGAGAGAAAAGATCTCTAGAACCGCACTGGAGGCTTTGATGAGACTGAAAAATAAATGTAACAGGTTAAGAAAATGGAAGAGGTAGAACATCAGAGCTAATGGTTAAAGAGTCAGATTTTTCAAATTTAAAAATTTGATTGAATCAGTTAAAATATGACATCTATAACTATATCCACTATTGTCTGATATATTTGTATAGTGAACACCTGTGGAACTATCTACGCAGTTTTCCTTCACCCATTATCATAGGAATTTCCCCACCTCACCCAAGGACAGGACCACCTCAGAATGAGCCATTTTCCTACCTAATCCTATCCCCAGACCACAGTTAATTGGTCGAGGCTTGAAGTGAACCAATCAAAGATTTTTTTTCCCCTAAGCATCTTTCAAACAAATACTGAAGAACAGCTGGCCCTTCCCCAATGCTAGAAGTTGTAAAATGTAAGCCTGGATTCTATTAGCAACTATATCCTTGGTGAGAATGAAGTTAAAAGGCAAAAAGCCCTGAGATGCTTGAGTCCTTGATTTTACCTGTGCCTGATGCCCATGTCATACTTCAGAATCCATGTCTTTAATCAAGGAACAGAATATAAGGACCTATAGTGTGATAACTACATTTATTCCTTCCCACTTGACCAATAAGAATTTCCTCTCTGATGGCCAGTAGACACATGAAAAGATACTCAACATCAGTAATCATTAGGGAAATGCAAATCAAAACCACAATGACAGATCACCTTATGCTATCAGAATGGCTAGAATCAAAAAGACAAGAAATAACAAGTGTTAACAAGGATGTGGGGAAAAAAGGAGCCCTTATGCACTACTGGCGGGCATGTAAATTGGTTCAGTCACTGATGAAAACAGTAGGGAGAATCCTCAAAAAATTAAAAATAAAAGTATCATATGATCCACTAATTCAACAAAGAAAACAAAAACATTAATTTGAAAAGATATATGCACCCATATGTTTATGTTTATGGCAGCATTATTTACAACAGCCAAGATATGGCAGCAACCCAAGTGTCTACTGATAAATGAATGGATAAATAAGATGTGATATATATATATTTATATATACACACACATACACACAAACACACACATATACATATAGAATGGAATATTACTCAACTGTTAAAAAAAAAAAGAATGAATGTTGCTATTTGCAACAACATGGATGAACCTAGAGGGTATTATGCTATGGGAAATAAAGAAAGAAAGACAAACACTATATAATTTCACTTGTATGTGGAATCTAAAAAACAACAAACAAACAAAAAGGAAAAACAGACCTATAAATACAGAGAAAAAAACTGATGGTTGCCAGAGGGGAAGTAGGTGAGGGGATGGGAAAAACGGGGGAAGGGGCATGGGAGATACAGTTTTCCAGTTATGGAATGAATAAGTCATGGGAATGAAAGGTATAGCATAGAGAATATAGTCAATGGTACTGTATTAGTATGTATGGTAACAGATGGTAACTACACTGTGGTGAGGCATAGCATAACATGTAGACTTGTTGAATCACTATGTTGTACACTTCAAACTAATGTCACGTTGTGTGTCAACTATACTTCAGTTAATAAATAAATAAAATTAAAAATTTTTTTTTCAATTTTTAAAAAAAGATCTTCCTTTTAATAATGGCTAGCACATCACTCACTGGCCATCTAGCAGGGATGATAACAATCTGGGTTCCAAAATATCTTGGTCCCTAACTTAATAAAGGATCATATTGACTGTCCCTCTTTCAAATGTCTCCTTATGAGAGGGTGAAGACCAGGATATCCAATGTAGTAAATGCATTAGAAGGGAAGAGGTGTGGAGATATGAAAGAATTTATAGTTGGATGGGACTAAAGGAACTTACTGATAGTACCCACTGTTAAAAATTATTGTAAATGGAGCTCTCTCCCTGAGGTAGCATACTGATAAAACACCCTGTGTTGCCCACACAATTATAATAAGTATTATCTAGACCATGAAATGGTGGTACATGGAAATGAGTACTCCGTATCACCTGAGAGCTCCAATACATTCCCCTCTCTCTCTGTGATCTCGATGTTCTCTAAATCTCTTCAACCTGCAAATATCACATCCTACCCTGCCCAAATCCAATGAACAAGACCTTCATTCAGCAAGCTGACCTACCTTATTGACAAATGAGGTAAATAAGGTCTAAAATATAAATTTTCATAGTCATAAAGAGCCAGAATTAGGTTACTGTCTTTTTTCAAAAGACAATAAGTTAAAATGAGCAATTTAGCTTTTAACAGTATTTAATTCTAAGTCACATATATACAAATAAGCTTTGTATAGTAACCCTCTAAGAGTTTAAATACCTGAGATTTGCCCTTCAAGCAGTATAATAGGAAAATAGTTATCTATGTGCACAAGAGATGTAAACTTGATGAATAAATGTTCATTTTGAAACTTTTTAAAGATTTATTTATTTATTTTAGGGGAGAGAG